TCTCTCTCTCTCTCTCTCTCTCTCACACGCGCGCACGCGCACACACACACACACACACAATGCTCAAAACTCTGCATTTGCACAGTCAATAGCAAATACTTAAACTAATAACAAAACAAAGTAGCTGATTTAGAAGCGCCAGATTGTCATAGCAAAGTCAGAATGACCTCCTCTCCTAGGTTCACGAAACGGTCGTCCATAAAATGCATTGCTGTTCTGTTGTAAGTAATCTTAAAGATTCCTAAATGCATCTACTTTCGGAAGGCCAAATAAAGTGCTTTTGCTTTCGCCTAGAAACACACAGCGTCTCCCTGACATGCTGCTTCAACACTAACTGTGGTTACTGAAACCACGCCTTCTTTCTTTGCGTGCACATTTGGGCGGCATTATGCAAATATTTCCACATAGTGAGGTAGATATGTGGGGGCGTGTTAGAACGAGCCGTTTTAGGGGGGCGTGGCAGAGTCTTAACTTTGATAAAGAATATCTCTTTGGTTTTGAGACTTTAGTCTTTGCAACTTCAGGGATCTTATCTATGCACAATCAGCTTGTAACACTCCAAAGAGAAAGGAAAATTTGAAATCGCATCATATGACCCCTTTAAACAATTGCATTTGCAATACAATTTTATTTTAATTATATTTATTAAACCATATTTTTGTAATTAAAATATTTCTTGCAAGAAAGTCCTAAACTAAGTCCTAAAATGTATTGCAAAAAGTCCTAAAATGTATCACAAAAATGTTGTTAAATTTATTGCAAAAAAAGTCCACTTATTTGGCAAAAAGTCCTAAAATATATTGCAAAAAATTCCTAAAATGTATTGCAAAAGTTCTAAAATGTATCGCAAAAATGTCCCAAAATATATCGCAAGAATGTCCTATAATGTATCATAAAGTCCTAAAATGTATCGCAAAAAGTCCTACATTTTATAGCAAAAAAGTCATAAAAGTATTGCAAAAGTCCTAAAATGTATCACAAAAATGTTACATTTATTACAAAAAAGTCCACTTATTTTGCAAAAAAATTCCTAAAATGTATTGCAAAAGTTCTAAAATGTATCGCAAAAATGTCCCAAAATATATCGCAAGAATGTCCTAAAATGTATCATAAAGTCCTAAAATGTATCGCAAAAAATCCTGCATTTTATAGCAAAAAAGTCATAAAAGTATTGCAAAAATCCTAAAATGTATCACAAAAATGTGCCAAAATGTATCGCAAAAATGCATCACAGAAAGGTTCTAAAATGTATCGCAAAAAATTCCAAAATGTTATTGCAAAAAAAGTCCTATAATGTATCGCCAAAATGTCCTGAAAAGTATTGCAAAAAATTAATCCCAAAAATCTCCTAAACTCTGAAAAGAAGTCCTAAAATGTCTTGCAAGAAAGTTTCAGGAGCTCTCTGGCAAAGTACATACTTTTCGAGAGTAGTAAAACTATGAATTGTAACAGCCAAAGAAAGCACCATCCTTATATTTGTAGGATATCAGACCGAATCAGACAATCTAAGATTTGGTCAAAACATGGTTGAGGCACGAGGAGTCAAAACATTCCACAAGAGGCCCAAGACAACAGGATGTCATAAATCAGACCCTAGCCAGTCTGAAGCAAGCCTAAACCACTCTTTCACAGAACAGTTTTCAACATTAACACAAAAGAACACTTATTGACAATTCCAAGGAGATTGTCAATTTTGGGACAAGTTATCAAGAATAATGGTCAAAAGAGATGCACAGCGACAGCCAAAGAAAGCACCATCCTTATATTTGTAGGATATCAGACAATCTAAGATTTGGTCAAAACATGGTTGA